GAGGACCTGCGTCAGGCGGAAGGTGAGGATGCCGTGGCGTCTCTCAAGCCACTCCTCAAAGAGGGGTCTTATCGCCGCTATATTGGCGTGCCCAGCACGGGGTTGCGACAGTCGCTGTCTCCATGTCGCCATGAGATCGTGCCGGAAGTCTGTCCGCTGCGCGACAACTTGCCGCGGCAGCGGGGTTTCCCCACGGCATAGTGCCTCCGCACGCCATTCGTGCAGGCGCGCGAGGACTATCGCCTCCAGATCCCATGGCGGCAATCCGGCAAGGAGGCTCGCCGCCTCGCGGGAGATCGTGCGGTAGCCGCGAACCATGTTCACGGCTATCACCCTTTGGGGCGCGTTCAGGTGGTGGACGGCAAGCCGCGCCAAACCACGCGCCCACACCGGGGCCCCGTAAAGGGCCATGGACCGCACGATCCCCGCGTAGAGCCTCCGGCAGGAGGCGTTTGGCCCTCCCAGGTTCGGCAGGAGCCGCCTGAAGGCAGCCGCGGTCCGTTCCAGTTTGGGAGCCAAACGTCGGAAGTGCTTTCTAACCCTGTCATTCAGATTCAACCCTAGCATACTCCTTAAAGACCGCATTTCTACAGCATTTATTCTACTTTCGTGCTTCTTCTGCCACACCCAGCTTTCACTACCATACATTAAAGTAGGGACTAACACAGCATTATGAATTACCATATGTGCCTTTTTTGACACATTCTGGTTCTTCACAATAGAGTGTAGTGTCCCATTCACTCTATTCCCTGCATTTACTCGTCGTTCTATATCCCTATCATATCTACCATCCCTGCTAAATACACATCCCAAATACACAAACTCATCCACTTGCTCAATTAACTCTCCTTCTATTCTTATTTCACATACCGTTTTGCTTTCTTCTCTTTCAAAAACCATCACTTTCGTCTTACTTGCGTTCACTTTCATTCCCCTTTCTTTTAATTCCCAGTTCATTAATGTAACCATGACGCAAATATGACTTGATCATCGGCATACAAAAGGCATTTGACGGTTAACTCGCCCATTCTTAACCCACATTCTTCATCTTTCAAAGTTTGCAAACACCTGTCCATAAATAGGTTGAACAGCCAAGGGGAAGCTACACAGCCCTGTCTGACACCTTTTTGGATGCCAAACCAGTCCGAGTAGACCCCATTGATCCTGACACAAGCACTAGAGTCCCTATAAAGAGACCTTAATGCCTGTATCAAACCAGCGCTCAACCCATATGAGTTCAGTGTTTTCCATAACACATTCCTGTCCACTCTGTCATAAGCCTTTTCCAAGTCCATGAACGCACAAAAAACTTTCTGGTTTTTGGCCAAAAACTTCTCCGCAATCATGCGTATGGAAAAGTTTTGATCTATACACCCCATTCCCTTTATAAAACCCGCTTGCACATCCCAAATTTTTAAAAAATATTTAATTTAATTAATTAAATTACTTTTTTTTCCTAAAGTAAAAAAGTAGCAGCCTAAATACATCCTGGCCACAGGCCACAGCGAGTTTTAGGTCAAAAAGGAGTTGATTAAGTTGACTCCAATACGTAATGACCGACTTCACATTTATTTATTTATTTATTTATTAAGCCTTTATATTACCATGCAATTTACATACATACAAGAAAAAAAATCCAAATTGTTTTTGTTTAAGACATGGCCCCGCTCCGGGTATAGGCCTCCTCCAACTGTTTCCATTTGATCCTATTTTGCGCCTTCAACATCCAATCTCTACCAGCTATTCTTTGGATTTCATCGATCCAGTGATCCTTAGGTCTCCCTTTACTCCTTGTTCCGCTTGGGCCCGTCCATTCGGTGACTCGTTTCGTCCATCTTCCGTCTGTAACCCGGGCTATGTGTCCCGCCCAACTCCACTTAAGCTGTTGTGCGTGTTGTCCTGCGTCTATCAATTTAGTTTTCCTGCGAATATCCTCGCTCTTACGTTTGTCAAGGAGCTTAATGCCTAGGATACTTCGTTCCATAGCGCGCTGGCACGATCGTATTTTATTTTTTATTTTCTTTTGAAAAATCCAAGTTTGTGCTCCATATGACAGACAAGGCAGCAAACAAGAGTCTATTACCTTTTTTTTGAGCTTTAGTGGGAGTTTTGTTTTTAAGATTTCTTTGAAGCTCCAGTATTTCCTCCATGTCATGTTGATACGGCGCTCTAATTCGTCTTCGTGTCTTGACTTCTTGAATGAAATTTGTTTCCCAAGATATACATAGCTGTCCACATACTCTATCGCTGTTTCGTTTACTATTATTGGTCTTTGTATACTGTTTGTAGTAACTTTTGTTTTTAACGTATTCAATTGTAAGCCTATTTTTTTTGCTGGAATTATTTAGTTCTACCGTCATTGTTTCCAGCTCCTTCGATGTTTTTGCAAATATGACGATATCATCTGCAAATATTAGGTTACTTAGGAACTCTGTATCTATTTTAATTCCTTTTCTACTCCAATTTAGCTCTTTCATAATGTCCTGTAACACGGATATAAATATCTTTAGAGACAACGGATCTCCTTGTTTCACTCCTCTTTTAATGAAAATTTTTGGTCCTAGTCTGTCCAACTTCACCCTGCTTGTACTATTCTTGTATATATCTTTGATTATATTTATGTAAGTTTCTGGAATACCTTGGTGTGATAGCGCTTGCCATATGCTCTCGTGTGAAATTGAATCAAATGCTTTCGCATAATCGATATATGCAAGGTAGAGCGGCTGATTAAATTCTTGATATTTTTCTACTATTTGGTCTAGCGTGTGGATGTGGTCGATAGTAGAGTAGCCCGACCGGAATCCAGCTTGCTCTACTGGTTGGTTTGTTTCTATTCTTAATGCTATTCTTTTTTCCAGACACATTGCAAATAATTTGTACATTGTTGGCAACAGGCTGATAGGTCGATAGTTATTAATGTCTGAGGGATCTCCCTTTTTATATAATAAAATTATTCGAGATTCTCCCCAGTTTTTAGGGATTTTTTGGACTTCTAGTATTTTATTAAACAGAATCGTGATAGGACCTATTAGAGTTTTCTTTCCAATTTTTAAGGCTTCATTAGGAATGTTATCAGGACCTGGGCTTTTTTCTTTTTTTTAATTTTTCTATTTTTTTCCAATATATCTCTGCAGTCAAAAGGCGCGATGGGTGTATTTAATTGTATTTGATATTTTTTGTGGTCATTTTCTTTGCTTCGTTCATCCTGGTAGAGATTCCTGTAAAAGTCCGTAGCAATATTTATTATGTCTTTTCGCGTTTGTAATTTACCTGTAGCATTCTGTGCTTTCAATGTGGGTATCCATTTGCGCTCAGTATTTAGTTGTTTATAGGCTTTCTTTTGGCTTCCGGTGGTGGTCAGGTTCTTTTCGATAATTGCCATTCTGTAGTTTTCGTAGTCTTTTTTTTAACATTTTATTTGTAATTTTATAGAGAACTGTAAGTTCTTTTTTCTCCTCTTGTTTTTACATGGTTTTGATTGCAGTGCAATACGTTTTTTAAGTTGTTGTTTGGTTTCAATAGTTAGAATATCTTTGCTTGTTTTCTTTGAGGTGGCAGCATTTAGGCTTTGTTTTATGGCTGTCTCTATCTTAAGATTGAAGGACTCTATGTCGTCGCAACTTTCCCATTCAGTTTGTTGCATTTTTTCCTCTAAAGTCTTGAGGTATACTTGTTGACTCTTGTCGCACGACAGACTAGCTCGAGTTTCAGCAAAAGTTGCTCTACTTTTTTTAAGTTTTTTTCAGTTGTACTGTACCACGCAGTAGTCTGTGGTCGCTTGAAAATGTATTATTATTTAAAATTTCTATGTTTGTGAAAAGTTTTGGAGAGTTGCTAAAAATATAATCGATTTGGTTTTTATGATGCTTGTCTGGTGTAGTCCATGTCCATAAAGTATTAATTTTTTTTCTTAAATATTGTGTTAATTATAGTGAATTTGTTTTTAATGCGTATTGTAGTAGTTTGTCACCTCTGTCGTTCCTCGTTCCAAAGCAGTATGGCCCCATAATTATGTTTTCCATGGGTTTTCTTTTTTTCCATTTTAACGTTTAAGTCTCCCATTAAAATCATTTTTCCGTTTGCTAGTTTTTGAGCTTTTTCGATTTGATGGTAAAAAAAGATCTATTTCCTCTTCCGGTGCTTCAGAGGTGGGGGCGTACACCTGTATTATTGAAATTGATATTTTGTAGAATTTCATATTTAGGAGGCAAACTCTATCTGATATACCTACGTAGTTCTCTATGTTGTTTTTATATTTCTTTTTTTATTAAAAAGCCTACACCATATTGCCCTTGTGATATACAAGGGCAATATGGTGTAGGCTTTTTTTCCTGTATAACAAAAAATATGATTTTCGTCCTCGATAATTTCATTTCCTTTTCTTCTGATTTCCGATAGTCCTACGATATCATGTTTAATTTTTGATAATGAACATTTTAATAGTATCATTCTTTGTGGCGATAGCAATGATTTAACATTGTATGTGCAGATATAGAGTGGTTGACAAGTTGGAGGGTTGTAGTCGTCCTCTCCCGCGGTGACTAGCCGTGTTGGGAGATGGGGAGGGGCCGGTGTTGATTGTTATTGTGTGGTTCTTGGATCATGAGGAAGCGAAGTGATTTTTTTGGAGGGAAATTGCAAAGTTGGTTTTTTTAACAGGAAGTTATCCATGCTGTTTGTTTTATTGATCTTTATAGGTTGCTTGTCTTTATTATTTTCACAGTCGGATTGCGATGTTTCCGGTGACTCTGACAAAACTCTTTTCTTTTTATCCGTAATTTGCTTCTCGGCTTGCTGGTTTCGGTTCTTTAGTATTACGATTTTGTCGTATTTAATAATCGCTAATTTACCTTGTTCTCTTTCTTTGTTGACTTCCATTTGAAGTTCCTTTCGCTTGCTTAGTATTTCGGGAGGAAAATCTTCTTTAATATAGTAGGGTGTAGGTATTAGCTTCTTTTTTGTTTTTTGTATTTTTATTTTTAGCCCTATTGTGGTTAATGTTATAACGATGGGTCTGACTTTTTCTCCCTTTTTCCAAGTCTTCTCACGCATTCAATACCGTTGCTATCGCATTTGATGTTTATTACGTTATTTATTATATCAATAACCATTTCCTCTAGGTCCCAGTAGCTCTTTTCGTCTTCAGAGACTCCGAATATGAGTAGTTTTTTCTTTCTTATGGTCCTCTCCAAATTATTTATTTTTATTGTCTGCGTTTCTAGTTTCTGTTCTAAAAGCTCGTTTTTGGTTTCTAGACATTTAAACTTCTCGTTAATATTGCTGTTAATAGTGTTTTTAATATCCTCCTTCATATCCTGCATATCGACTTTTTGTTGTCTTATTTCCTCTTGCATTACTTTTAACATATTTTTTATTTCCTCCATTTTAATAAATAAGCGATATAAATAGTTTATAAACAGAAGTTTTTTGTTGTATTCCTGTTTATATATAATGTCATCTTGTGTTGAGTAGTGGAAACACTATTTTTATGTTGGATACTACCACGGTTTAGTTGGATCTCTCTCCTTTATGTTCTGCCACTCGTCGGTAGATGTCGCTAAGAGGTTAGTTTGTATGCAAGATGAATAGTAATATTGCAATAGTTAACCTAAAAATGTTGATTATGTTTTGCACTTGTTTTTTCAGTTCCGCGCACGTATAAATAAGATGTCTTTAAAAAATTGATAATCTACACTTTCCTGACTTCAATAAGTTCTCGACAATCATTACAATGGAAAAACAAAAGTTGTTCAGCCGTTATGATGTACCAAGGTTTTTTGCACTTGTTTAGCACTAGTATTTCACTTTCACTCAAATACTTCACTTTGTCCTGGTACTTTGCTACACTTTTTAGCGTTCTACGTAAGTTTTGTTTTACTTTCACGATTAGAAGTAATTATTTTTCAATTAAAATCACGGAACCGATGTAAGCAGTGGCACGGTGGCGCCCTCTCTCACATACATATACCTAAAAATAATTTCCGAAATATTTTTTTTACATCTCAAATATGCGGGTTTCCTGCGATGTTTTTCTTCACCACCGAGAACGTGGTAAATCGAAACTTCAAATTGCAGTTAAAATATTAGTGGATTCGGCGTGGATCTAATTTGAGTTACTTACGTACCAACTATGAGATTTACATTACAAACCCGTGTTTATAATTTGCTTTCTTTGATATTTATAGTACTTTTTCACAAGAGTCTGTCAATTTACTCGTGTGAGCTGCGGGACGGTCACAAAAATATTAATAGTTATGTCTGAAAATATGAAAGCTATCTTAATATATGACACTGTTTTCAAAAAAATAACGAAATGGTTTTTTGAAAATTCTTGTAAAAATTAGTTTAATTATTAATGTGCTCCACTTATAGAAAGTTTTTGTTTTCAACATTTGCACGTCTGAGAGCAGACTAAACACAATACCTGTCTACGTTATATTTATTTAACTGAAAAATTTGTCAAATACGTTTTATGCAAAGTACCTAGATGATATTTTTTTTGGAAATCGTGTTTTTTGGAAATTATTTTAGATACAAATTACATACTGATGAAATATGAATAACATTTTTCGATCTTACCGACATAATAAAAACACTGAACTGATTATTTAAATAAAAATCGTAAAAAAAATTCACGATTTTCTATTATTCATTTTTTTCTATTCTCAATTTAATTTAATTAAAAAAATTATTTCTGTTTTTTTTAAAAATACTAAAATAGGGTTCGAAGTAAAGCTGGAAAGGGAACTGGGTAAAAAAAGTCATACCGATGAAATCTTGACTCGAACTGAGGGGTACCACGATTTCGGGATCGACCGATATCACATTTGAGCTATTATTACCTGTAATGTACTGGCAAAATTTACCTTCGTATGCTAATGATATTGTAGCAGTTTTTTATTGCCTGAAAACATGGATAAAACGACAGTTTCTAAAAACGAATCCTAGCTGGACCTATTTATTCGTTTAAAGGTATTAATATTATACAGATAAAGATTTTGTATTTGCAACAATAGCATCTAGAAATAGCAATGTCATTTTTAGTTGTTAATATCGCCAGACAATCTCTTTTCATTAGCTTGGTCAAGCTTTATCATAATGTAGCCAACAAACACTGCAAATTTTTGTGAAATATCGCCATTTCACTTTCAATAATCGACTTATTTATGATATTATTATCATTCTTTATTATTATTTGATATTATATCATTAATTGTAAGATATTATCAATAGATATATAAAAATCTTTTTTATTTAAACTATAAGGATAATAACAGATTTGTATTAATTGTAATTTTTATCAGTTTATTTATAGATAAAAGAAATAAACACAAAAACTTTTCATTGATTAAAAATTTAGAAATATCATTAAATTTATGATTTTCAATAGATGTCACTATTATCTTTTTTTGAAGTAATTCGTTAGTATAAAATTTATTATTATCTACTAAAATGAAATAACAAAAATACCCGTACCCTCGAAAAGTGACTAACACAACGCTCGACGCCCGCTCGACAATGGTACACATTCGCCTACTAAGAATTTATGAGGGCGAACCCGACAAAAAAAGGTTTGTCATTAAAAATGATAAGAAAGTTACAGTGAAATATATAATACAGACATAGACAAAGACATACTCTTTAATTTGGTACCGTAATCTGTCAATGTCATATAAGAAATAAACCTAAAAACTCATTCTGACCTAACGGGTCTTTACACCAGTAGGGCGTGGTTATGCGTGAGCTATTACTGAGTGATTTCTCCGTTTTTCTGTGTGTTTTTGAAATGAAAAGGTGAGTTTTATACTTTTGTGTATACCTTGTAATATGACAAACACGTAGATATATAATTTGTGGCATGAAAAGTGACAAGTAAGTGCCAAAAGTACTTTTAAATCGAAAAGGCCCATTTTAGCGGTTTGGTCAAAAATGTGTTATTTTTCCAATTTTCATTTATTTTTATTGTAAAATGTAACTAAAAATAGTTTTGTAACATATTTCAAATAACTTGATGTTGTATTTATTTCAAATTCACACAAAAGTATATTTGAAATATTATTCGAAATTTCATATAGATAAAAATTAATTTCGTTTTTTATGTCATTATTATCATATTTTAGTATGAGTAACGAATAGAAACACATAAAACATAAAAATATACATATTTCCAAACATTTTAGTATATATTTCTCCAAAAGCAAACGTGTATATTTCAAATTAGTACTAATTTTGTGACTAAAAGTGAAGTATCTACTATTACTATGCTATAAAGGGTAATTTATGAATTTTATTACAATTTATAGAACTAAAAATAACTTTATTCGATAGTTTATACATTCAACAAGAATTCTCGTAAGTTTTATCCATAAATATTGTCTCAAAGTGAAAATATAGCAAAATTAGCAAATTAGCAAAAAATTTGCATTTGCCGCCATTTTAGGTCGCGAGCCAACAGGAGTATCGAATTACGTCGCCTTCAAAAATGTAACATAAGCTAAAAAATGTACATTTTCAAAAATAACAATATAAATGCTGTATTATTTAATTTCTTAGTGGAGGCAAAATGACATTACTTTTTATATTTTACGTTAGATGGCACTGTTTTGAAAAAGTGAATGCAACAATAATATTGTAGTTTGTCTGAATGTTGGGCTTTATTTATAAATATTTTATTTATTTAAATAGAACACATCCATCGTATAAAATTGAAATTAACATCTAAAGGAAGGAAAATACTTAACCCTCCTTTTCTAAAGATCTGTAATCGGATAAAAAGTAGCCTATAAGTAGCCCCGCGTCCCTAACTATCTACACACAATTTCATGGAAATCTGTTCAGTAGTTTTTGCGTGAATCTTTAATACACAGACAGACAGTCAGATAGACAGTCAGATGGACAGACAGAGAGACAGACAGACAAAAATTCTAAAAACCACTAATATGGCTTCAGTGCCTTTCGTTTAGTCCCCTGGACTTGTTTTTTTCTAGAAAATATTAGAACCTCGTTTCTCGTGTCTGTAACACGACCTTTTTACAGGTTTATTTTTGTATATGTATAGAAGATGATGATAAGTTAGAGTAAAAACAATATTATTTAACTATTCTAGTGTAACGGTGAATAATGAAGAAATATAGGAACAGGAATTTGATTTTGTTTGAAACTATTTTGGTTTCCTGACTTTAAGTATGATATCGTAAAAGTTAATATGTTGAAATCTAATAAATAATGCAAAACGTTCATCGGTTTTCACTTAACACGCACATAAATAGAGAATTACTACGCCGTGATCACGTGAAAAGCTCCGTGAACGTTTAAACGGTAATACTGCGATCCGTGCCGCCAGGGAATAATGAATGATTAATGGCGGAAGCAATGCACGATGTGAACCGTTTAATGTTTGGTTAATGTTTGGCTCCACACCTCCCTAAAATGACTTTAAAATTGTATCTAAATCTTAAAACCTCCTCTTCTCGTTATTTTATAGATTTTGCTAAATAGGATGTTATACTACCATGTATGGCCATATTATGTTGTCTAATCTGGTGTCGTACTACCTTTTTGGGCTACAAACATAATATTATAGCTTCAACTACGTTTCAGCGTATTTTACGTGGAATTAAGTCTTACTTAAGAGCTAATAAATAAGATTTTTCTCAGAGTTAGACTACATATCATCGACATATATCTCGAAAGTCATAGGAGCTGTTTGAACATTTGCAAAAAATTACTCTTAAAAGAGCCGTGGTAGCTCATATGGTTAGCGCTCGCTGTAAATTTCACATTACGCGAGCAACCCAGGTTCGATTCCCATCGGCAGTAGTGAAATCGTAAATTTCTATTTGAAGTGGTGATTATTTTTTAATTTATTAGAATCAAAAAACAGTTTACACAATATTTATTAATCTAAAATACATTCACTACAAAAATATAATATAATAGTGCAACCAACACCGTTGACCACCAATTACTATTAACACATGTTTAGATTGAGAATAGCGTACAACTTTTTCATATAATACAGTGATTGTGTTTTCAAATAACACAATAATAAAAAAAAATTGTAATAATCAATTATACAAACTCATTCTCCTCTAAGTACTGAAAGTAATTCTTTTTTATAAATACTCACCTTGTGAGCAAAAATGTCAATATTATTGAAAGTTTTATTATAACAATATAACAACATATATATAGGGGATCTTTTACCTACGTTGGTTCGACATTTATTAGTAAAAAATGTGTAATTGGCACGAACTCTGCGACACAATGGCCTATTTGGTACTCTGTATTGTATCATCTTAACTAGTTCTATACTATCGTACCTGTTGTGACAAATATCATGCAGTAACATAGCTTGAATCTGTTGACGTCTGGATTCTAATTTTAGTAAGTTATATTCGACCAGCAGTTGATAGTAGGGTAATTTAACTCGTCTGCACTTGTAATTTACACTACGTAAAAACTTTTTCTGAATGGATTCTATTTTATCTATATATTTATTATAATACGGACACCAAATAGCTACCGCATATTCCAGTTGTGATCCTATTAAAGATTTATAGAGGTGCAAATAAGTGAGAGGTTTTTTAAATTCACTTCCAATACGCATCACGAATCCATACATTTTAAGAGCCTTATTAATGACATTTTCAACATGTGTATCAAAGATAAGTTTACTATCTAATATTATTCCTAAATCTTTAATTTTATAAACTTTTTCTAATGGAACTCCACATAAAGAGTAATTGAAATTACTTACCTGTCGCTTACGGGTAAACGTTATGGCTTTACAATTATTAACACTCAAATCTAACTTATTGTTTTTATAGTAAGTTGTAAAATTATCTAAATCTTTTTGAAAGTTAAGAAGTGCGTACAGAATAAAATTACAAAACTTGAAACAACTATTAACATCATTAATGTACAGGACGAAAAGAAGAGTCCCTAAGATTGATCCTTGTGGCACACCAGAACTTATATGCACAATATCTGACTCAAAACCTCTTATAACTACTTTTAGTGTACGATTTGTCACATACGACTTAAACCATCTCCACAAATTACCACGGATACCATTAAAGGCCAGCTTTTCCAGAAGTAGTTTATGGTCTACGCGATCGAAAGCTTTGCGGAAATCTGTGTATATGCAATCAGTCTGGACGTTACTATCCAGATTCTCAAATAAGTAGTTTGTATAAATTAATAAGTTAGATATAGTCGAACGCTTCTTAATAAAACCGTGCTGTGTAATTATTATATTGTGAAGACTAGAATATAACGCATTATGTATTAACCTTTCGAAAGTTTTAGCGAGTGTTGATAAGATTGATACCGGTCTGTAATTTTCAACATCTTTTTTTGAGCCTGCCTTGTAAATTGGTACAACACGAGCTGTTTTCCAAATATATGGACATATCCCATCTTTTAAGCATTTATTAAAAAGGTAATGATTTGGTTTCGCAATAGTATGTGCTGTAGCTTTCAGAAAATAAGGAGGAATATTGTCAATACCAGCTCCTTTATTCGCGTCTAAATCTAAAAGGGACTTTGTTACATCTTTTTCAAAAATAGAAATGTCAGTAATAACGAAATCAGAATTTTTATTATTTGATATATTAATGTTATCATAATTCAAATCATCAGTAAGAGAAGTGGGTTCAAATACCGAAAAGAAAAAAATCAAAGAATAAATTACATACTTCCTTGGGGTTACTAGCAAATTTGTCTTTATAAAAAATTTCTGACGGAGTTACTAGGCTACTTTTGCAATTTGTTACATATTTCCAGAAATATTTAATATTTTGCTTTACACAATTCTCGATAGTATCCATATAATGAGCATAACGTAATTTAGATTCAGTTTTAAAACGTTTTCTGTACAATGCGAATGTTCTATAATCTGACAAATTTCCGTACTTTTTCCATTTAACCAAAGCATTATTTTTATTTTTGTAGATATGTATCAATGATAAATCAAACCTCCTAGGAAAATTGCTGTTTTTTACAGCTTTCCTTACTATATATTTGCGTAAAATACCATATATTTCGTCATAAAATAGGTCCACAGCAGCTTCAGCAGAAACGTCGTCTTTCATCATAGCCTTCCATTCAGTATCTAATATTACTTTATTAATCAATACGTAGTCCGCACTTTCAAAACAGTAACGTGTGTGTTTACTCGGCATGCCTCGTATCTTCTCGGCAAACGGTACTATTACATAAAATGGAGGATGATGTTTATCAGTACTTACTAAAGGAATAGGGGCTGAACATAATATATAGTCATTTATGTTAGTAATAAATAGATCTAGAATAACATTATTTGAATTTTTATATGTATTAATTTGTGTAAAATTATAAAGTGATATAAAATTTATTAAACTATTGCGTGAAATTGATATATCGGCAAAAGAATTACTTTCAAAATTAAGATCCATATCATTCCAATCTATAGATGACATATTGTAGTCTCCTACTAGATAAAAATTATTACATAATTGGTATTGATTAACTATACCAGACAAATATTCTATATAGCTCAAGTATACATCACTTTTTTGGTTAGGCGCGATATAGACAGCATTTAATAGATAAAGTTTTGTGCCACCCCTAATCTCAAATGTAACGTAATCTATAAGTGGGGAAAGTGCGGACGCAGAGAAAGAAATCCGGACCTCGACAGTGCTAAGCGTACTGCGTACCGCTATGAGCACTCCCCCACCGTCCCTCCGATCACACGCATCACGATTTCTGTCGCATCTATACACAGTATATCTGGTATCAATAAATTCGTTATCAGAAATATGACTATGTAACCATGTTTCCGTTAAAATAATTACATCATATGCATGAGAAAGAATGTTCGTATATATAGTATGTAATTTGGTCCGAAGCCCACGACAGTTTTAGTAGTATATAGACAAGCTATTTATTTTTAAATGTAAGAAATTGTACTGTTACTGAAATAATATTGTTAAATTTATGAATGATTAATATGTATTGAATTATATGTAACCCGACAAATAAATAGACATCAACAGTTATAATAAGTATTTCCTTAAAATTACGAGTAAAAACATAAACAAAGACTATTTTGCCCGCTTTGATCAACAGCCAACTTAGTATATTAAATAACATGTAAACAACTTTCATAAGGTTCAACGTACTTTTGCTTACCCGCAAGGGTATAATATTAACAAATTGATATTTAATTAAATTTACCTCACAAAATAAAATATAATAAGAAAAAGGAGAATGAGTACATACTATGACGATGTTAAATATTATTAGTTTTAAGTCCAACCTGAAATTGTTTAAAATTACACCACTATTTAATCTTTTTAATATTATCCAAAGATCGAATTGACATAGCTGGTGAGCTATCATTCTTACGCACCAATATAGTTCCATGCTTAACCCACACATACTTGTAATCATTAGCTTTAGCTGCGTTTCGACATTCACGAAATAAAATCTTATTTTTTAATGTCAAATGTTCATTTACATATATAGTATGCGATGGTCCAGAGATTGATAACTTCTCTGAATTTAAATTCTTACGTACACGGCAGGCAGCGAGGAAGTTGTCACGAAGAATTCTTGATGAAAATTGTACAATAATATTTTTTGGGCGAGAATCCTTGTGGTCAGCATGAGGAACTCGATGAATTGCAGTGATGTCAGTCGAAAGAATCTTTTGGTCAACTATAACCCCCAAATTAGTTATTATATTACTATAATAACTAAGTTGGGGGTCTTTTTACAAAGATTTTCGCCTTTTTTTTTTCAGGTAAATTTGAAATTTCAAGATTATTGCCCCTTGCCTGTTGTTCCATTGATGATAACTTATTTTCTAGATCGGCATTCCGCTCCGAAAACTGTTGGATTTTTTCTTCAAGCCCTTTAATACGAGCGTCAAATGAATCTTGACGTAACTCAGAGGAACATAGTATGTTATCGATATCTATAAGCTTATTGTTAACTTCTAGTAAAGAATTTTTTAAAGCCGTATTATCTGAAATTATCCCGGCTACGGCCAATTGGATGTTAGTTAAGGCATCCGTTATTTTGGTGAGCTCACCAGACAAAACAAAGCGCACCCAGTTTGTCACTAATTTTTCTATATATTTTTCGTTTAAGATATTGTTGGAAAATATCATACTATGTTCGGATATGTCGTCCATTTCTTTGCGCTTTCTACAAGTAACGAAGTTATTGGTAGTATCGATTTCATGGTGCAGATCTGGGCTTGACATACACTTTATCTTTTGCGGAGGTGTACTTTGCATCGCCAATACACTAGTGAGAACAAAATTATGCACCTGTCTTTTTGCTAGCGGAGGTGAGGTGCGGGCGCCCTTCAGAATCATCAGATGCAATGCTAGACAAAGAAACAATTATCCACGTTCGATCGATCGTTACAAACTTTGCAGGTTGTCACAGTTAATTGAAAACACAAATATGCACCGAGAAGTTGCTGTTTATAAAAGTCAAGTTTGTATGCACTTTTTTAATAGTTCTTCAAACAACAAACTGCACGTCTACTCTCAACGATATTCAAAAATTAACTGGTGATGATTTACCATGTGCTCAATAGTAAAGGAAAACATCGTGACAAAACCTGCATGTCTAAAAATAAAAAATAAAATTTCAAACACATGTGAATTTTACCAACAAGTATTGGGGCACCGCGGTGGACACTTAATTGCCATAAAACCCTTTTAGAAATGATAGGGGGCATGTTCTCAGCAGTGGGACGTATATAAGCTGTAACTTTAACCTTTTGACTAACCACAGCACGTAAACGTTCATCATCATGGTCCTTGGTCAATTAATTGATATTTATAGTATTCTGTCACAAAAGCCTGTCCAATGTCCATTTATTCATGTGAGCTATGAAACCGGGACTCTTACAAAATTTTTTATATCTGTAAATATGAAAGCTATCTTAATATATCACAAACTGTTTTAAAAATATCATTAAAATTAAAAAAGGCTGCGTCAACGGTATCACGAACTATTCCATCATTTACGGATAAAAATCTCACAGTGCATTTAATTTTCAATTCAGACTTGATACAAAAAGAAATTGATGAATTATTGCTATGCTGACGGACACACAACATATTCAACTAAACATCTCTCTTTATCAAAATTGACAATTATCTATACTTATAATAAATCTGTAGAGAGGTCAATTCTGTACATGAAATATATATCATATAAGTGATCGATACTGATGCCAAAAATGCAAACAGTAAAATTTTTGTCTGTCTATCTGTCTGTCTGTATGTTCGTTATAGAAACAAAAACTATTCGACGCATTTTAACGAAACTTGGTACAATCATTCTTCATACTCCTGGGCAGGTTATGGTATACTTTTTATCACACTACGATCAATAGGAGCAGAGCAGTGAAGGGAAATGTTGGGAAAACGGGAGAAATTACTCCATTTTTTAAGCTTTCGTCGCGTGTGCAGCCTTAATGGTTAAAGCTACACAGAAATCATGTATAAAGGAAATATTCTCATTAAAATTATATAAAAAATATCCCATGAGAGCATATGTCTATCTTTTATGGTTGAGTCACAATAACACGTGTAAATCCCGATAGCTTAGCAGTTCGGAGCTTTCTGATTATATTTGTCTACTCTTACGTTTATAACACTCTCACTCATCCCTAATTAAAAAAGTAACATTATTATCTATTCAATAAAAAAAATAATCATAGAAATATTATTATTTTTTTTATTGAATAGGTATAGAAACACCAAAGTTATACATGAAATACGCTAATAAGCCATCGCACGTGAATACTGAATCATGCTATAAGGATTATATTTATGTAACGGTTGCCGCGTTCGACGCGGCTCGCGGCGGAAGGTATAAAAACGCGGGGGATCCGAGTGCGAGCTGAATTCCGGGCAAGGCCCAAGCCCTCCGGTGCCTTCAGCATCTAAGCCCAACGCATGGGTTAAGCCCCCGGCGATAGTCAGCGCGGCTGCCTCACGGCCAGTGCCTCCTCGCCAGGCTCAGAAGCCCAAACCCGCTCCTCAGGCACCGTCAAACATCGACACTGACCTTTCGTTAGTTTTCAACTTCGCCAGCAGCTTTAATGTGGCCGAAGTCACAACCCTAGCCCGCAAACTTCGCGAAGCTAAATCAATTCAAGATAGGCTCAATGCTACCATTGAGCATCTTAGTCTTATCCAAGCGACAGGTTCGTTCCAGTGCGCCTAAGCGACTCTTTTCTTTTATAACTAAAATGGAAATATGACCTATAGGTAGAACTAAGCCTAGGTCTCTGACTGTCATGTAATTTAATGCAAACGGTGTCAGAGATCAAAAGGAAGAGATCATATATTTTTTACGCAACCATGCTAGTGCAAGAGACCTTGAAACCTAGTTTGAGCGATCCCAAAATAGCCAATTATACCCTAGTGAGAAATGATAGTCTGACTGGACCTAAAGGCGGCACCTTGATCTACTACAAAAGGTCCTTGCAATGTGTACCGATAGATACTCCGCCGCTTACTAACTTAGAAGCGTCGGTCTGTAGGATAGCACTTACGGGCCATCCGCCATTAATAATTGCATCAGCATACCTGTCTCCCTTAAAAAGTATATTAGATTCCGACATATCGGCTCTATTAAACCTAGGCCCTAGCGTTTTAATAGCAGGAGACCTAAATAGTAAACACGTTAGCTGGAATTCTAACGTTAACAATCCTAATGGAATTATTCTAAGAGACCTCGCGGAGAGACTTAACTTCGATGTTATCACTCCCGAAAGTCCAACACGCTATCCTTTTGCAAACAACCAACATCCGGACGTCCTTGATATAGAACTGCTAAAAGATATCCAACTTACTGTTAATTCGATAGAGACTATTATCGAGCTAGTCTCAGACCACAGGCCGGTCGTTTTACAACTGGACCGGCTGGCAGGTGAGGTCCCTCAGACCAAAACTATTGTCGACTGGCGTTAACTTGAGGTCAAACTTAAGTCTACGAACTCCCAGCATTTGGACACTATACCTGACAAGATAGACTCGCTGGAGGAAACCGATAGGGCAATTAGCGCCCTTTCGACTCACCTCACATCAGCGGTCGAAGATTGCTCTCGTAAGGTTCGTGTATCGAGCGATCAATACACGAAACTTCCGGCGGATGTTCGACGGCTGATTAGAGCGAAAAATTCCGCGCTTAAAACTTACGACCGCTACCGCACGGAAACCAATAAACTTCGGGTACGTTCGCTACAAAACGAGATTAAACAACGAGTAGCCGAGTTTAGAAACGATAGCTGGGATAACCTCTTAGAAGGTATCGAACCATCCCAAGACGCCTTCTGGAAACTAACGAGAGCTCTTAAAGCCGACAAATCCTCACCGATGCCGCCTCTCGTGAGGCTGGACCACCCCGATCTCGCCCTAGACGATCTCGAAAAAGCCGAATGCCTAGCCGACAGCCTAGAGTACCAGTGCACGCCATCCACTGCACCAATAGATCCCGCTCACCTATTAGAGGTGAGACGGAAGTAGAACGTGGGTCTGCGCTGCCACCAGCTGGTGAACCACTCGATCCTGTGACAGTAGAACGAGTCACCGAAACCATAAAAAGTCTTAAAAATAGATCAGCCCCTGGGCCAGACGGTATCAGCAACAAGGTGATTAAATCCCTTTCGGCGCCACTTATATGCCTCCTTGTTGGAATATTTAACACCTTTCTCACGAACGGCTCCTTCCCGGACATCTGAAAAGAAGCAGACGTAATAGGGATCCCAAAACCGGGTCCCTCTAGCTACAGACCCATTAGCCTGCTCAACACATTGGGTAAACTATACGAGCGCATTATTCATAAGCGTCTCCGTCATTTCACCGAAGCTAACGGACTCCTCCCAGACGAACAGTTCGGCTTTAGAGCCAATCACTCATGCACTCACCAGATTCATCGCCTAACAGAATATATTCTGTCTGGCTTCAGCCAAAACCCGTTAAGGAAAAGGGCTCGAAACACGGGAGCCCTCTTCTTCGAGGTCGCGAAGGCGTTTGACAAGGTCTGACACGACGGCTTGATTTACAAGCTGTACAAACTAAACTTGCCCGATAGGCTCGTGCACATCATACGAGCTTTCCTTTCGAACCGCACTTTTCGATATCGAGTGGAGGGAACACGTTCTTCGAAACGTTTCCTCAAGGCCAAGGTCCCACAGGGCTCCGTACTATCTCCACTCCTTTTCACACTCTTCACGAGTGATACCCCAAAAGAACCCGTAGTGAACACCGCTCTCTTTGCCGACGATACGGAACTCTTTGTGTCAGACCCCAACAAAAATAGACTCGATATAAAGCTCCAAAAAGCGACCAATCGCCTTGGTGAATGGTTCCGCCTATGGAGAATTGACGTGAATCCCGAAAAAATGTAGCAGTATACTTTCAACGGAATTCTACAGGAGGTTCTAAACCCAAAACAATCTCTTTATACGACCGACCAATCCCTTAAGAAAAATCGGCCAAATATCTAGGCGTCACTTTCGACTCTCGCATGAGTTTCAAGACGCACATAAGTGTAGTACGCAACGGAGCCAAGTCAATAATATAGTCTACACTCTCTCGTTAACAGCAAGAGTAAGCTGTTACTAAGACACAAACTCCGGCTGTACAAAACCTGCATTAGACCAGTTATGTCCTATGCAGGGGTAGCTTATAATATAACGCCCACACATATAAGACCCATATTTTAAAACTCCAAAGAGTACAAAACTTTCTCATCCGAAAAGCCACCGGTGCATGGTGGTATCAACGGAACTCTGATTTACACAATGATTGTGAACTACCATCTATCTCCGAATATTTTAAGGAGATGTCCCAACGCTACTTTGGTAAAGTAGAAAGCCACCCTAACCTGTTAGTGATAAACGCAGCTAACTACGTTCTGATAATAAACGTCGCGCCCTATCTCCGTAGATCGCGAAATGTTTTAATAGAACCACCTCTACCGCTCGATCCAGTCGACTCAAGCGTCGCAGGCACATCACACAACGACACTACACCCACACTAAATGGGACAAACACAAATAGAACAACGAATGGGACGCGTCGCACCCACAGACGGGCACGACGCGTTCCAGCTCACACCGCGTACACGCCGTACACCCGCATTCCTGGACGGTTCTCACCGCCCAGACCACCGACCGACACGAGCTAAGCAGTCAGAGACGGGGGTCCGCACACCCCCCCTCGGACTGCGGTTAGATAGATCAAAGAAAAACGCCTAAAAGGCGACATGATGATTGGTAACAATATCAAATCCCCTTTTTAATTAGCTCGAATAGACGAATAGACGTTCAGAGTGTTCGACCTTATTGACAGACAATAATTGATTTTAACAAACCGTGCTCATCAGCGCGACTTTTAGTCTACTCTTGCGTTTAATAATTTATTTTTAGATTTCTTTGGTTGTTATTTTATAAAATAGGTATTAGTTATTTTGGTAGTGTTTAAATATTTCTTAGTATTAACTTAATTATAAATTAAACTTTTTTTTATTTAGCTGTAGTTTTAAATAAGTACCTAGGTATCAAATAGGTTATTTCATTCTATTAGACGTAGTTTAGGTACCTACTTCTATATTTTTAAGAATTTAATTTTGGATTTAAGGGTTTATTTAGGATCCATTTTATTACTTAAGTAGGCTTTTAGATTTTTTTAAGTGTATGGTAGCTATAGTTAGAACCTCTAACGTAGATTATTTTGTTAGGTAACTGAATGCCGCCGATTAAAAAAAATACACAATGCCACCTAAAAAACGATCATCTTTATCTTGAAATTCGAGAAACGCTCAGAGAATGAGAAATATGCGTTCTCAAGAATCGGCAGAGAAAAGAACATATCGGTTAAACTCTATGAGAGTTAGTGCCTCAATTTCTCGAGCCAATGAAAGCTCTCCAGAAAGAGAGATGCGATTAGCAGCTAACAGAGCGAGACGAGCTACATCACGGGCATCTCAAAGTTCTTCTCAACGAGAGCTAAGGCTTACCATTGACCGAGAACAACACGTGTTATCCCGAGAAGCTGAAACTGTTTCACAACGAGAATTGCGGCTCACAGCTGACCGCGAACGGCATACATTATCTCGCGAGTCCGAAACCTACACTGAGAGGGAATTACGTCTCACAGCTGACCGCAAACGTCATACATTATCTCGCGAGTCCGAAACCTACACTGAGAAGGAATTACGTCTCACAGCTGACCGCGAACGGCATGTACTATTCCGTGAGTCCGAAACCTTCACTGAGAGGGAATTACGTCTCATAGCTGATCGCGAACGGCATGTACTATCCCGTGAGTCCGAAACCTACACTGAGAGGGAATTACGTCTCACAGCTGACCGCAAACGGTATACATTATCTCGCGAGTCTGAAACCTACACTGAGCAGGAAATACGTCTCACAGCTGATCGCGAACGTCATATTTTATTTCCAGAATCTGAAACTTTTACTCAATATGAAGACCGTTTGACAAATGTTAGGATGCACTATATTATTATTCGATCTCTTGAAGATGAACATGAGCATGAACAACGACTAGAGTTGGGACGCGATTATTATAATTCTTTGAGACAAGAACAATTAATAAGTTTGTCTAATGAAGGATTAAAAATTGAAAATATTCGGTCTCTTGAAACGGACGAACAGCGAGAGGCCCGTCTTACTGCAGACAGATTTCGACATAGTCTTAATGACTTAGATGTACACATAGAAGATCAATCTTCAGATTCGGTGGCGTGGTCCGACAAATATAAAAGTGGGTTTGCTTGTAACCTCACAATTGATTACAGATCATCTTCTGTAATAGGCGATATGAACGTAGTATGTTCTTTTTGTAATGCTACAAAGTGGAGTAAGGAGTCGGCTGGTTTCTGTTGTTCTGGAAGTAAAATTAATTTGCCTTCGTTCGGAGATCCACCAGAACCTTTGAAGTCACTACTTTTAGGGGAACATGTGCAATCTAAACAGTTCTTAGACAATATTCGCACTTATAATAGTAGTTTCAAATGACATCCTTTCGTGCTCAACAAATCTCAGAAGGTCTTTGCATGCCTACTTTTAAGATATAAAGGTCAGGTTTACCATTTGATAGGATCCCTTTTGCCTGAAAACCAACCTAAGTTTCTTCAAATATATTTTGTATCCGGCTACAATGAACAGTCGAATATAAGAAATCAATATTTCCCGAATTTAAAAACTGAACTTATTTCACAACTTCACAACATGTTGCATCAGGTTAATTCGTATGTATGCGGTTTTAAATCGGCATTAGAAGCTCTTTCTCAAGATGGTGATAACAATTTTAAAATTGTTATAAATGCCGATAGGCATCCAACTCAGGAACACCCTGGGCGTTATAACGTTCCATCCACGAATGAAGTTACTGTAGTATTGGTCGATCAGGAATGTGATAGGCGTGATATCGTTATCCGTTCCAGAGACAATCGTTTGCAACGTATTTACAAAACCCACAGGGCTTACGACAGTTTGCAATATCCTTTGATATACTCTCGAGGGGGAAGCTGGTTATAATTTCGCTTTATACCAAACTGATCCGATTTTATTATTACGAATTGCAAGTGAGACGGAATAGATTTGTATACTCTCAACGTTTTCGTGGCATATTCAATCAGTTTATTGTTGACATGTACGCAAAAAATTGAAACCGAAAGATTAGTTTATATACGATCTAATCAAAGGCAGCTGCGCGCTGAAGAATACGTGCACCTTCGCGACGCAATGCAGCAATGTATATATTTCAACGCCGAAAATGTTACAGACGATTAGAGAACCCTAGACAAACAACTTTATTAGCATTCTTTCGACTTTGCCAAACTGATGATTTTGCAAAATCCCTTTTGTATGAGGAAGTTCCATCGTATTATACCTACGATAAGCTACGAGGTGTCTTCAATCGTAGACGCCGTGGCAGGCCTGTAGATGGCGATTCAGGTAATTTCAAAGAACATGTTCTTGGTAGAGTGTATACCGTTCATCCTAACGACGCTGAGTGTTTCTATTTTCGATTATTATTACATACAGTGCGAGGACCAACATCATTTATAGATTTGAGAAAAGTAGACGATGTTTTATATCCAACTTATCATGCAGCTTGCCAAGCGCGTCGTTTGCTTGAAAAACCACCGAGGTTGTATGGGTTACCGAAGATACACAAACCAAACGCTCCACTATGTCCTATAGTGAGCCAGATCGATTCACCAACTTATAAGCTGGCACAACACTTGGCAAAAGTACTGTCACCACTGAGAGGACATACCAGAGCACACACAAAGGATTCATACCATTTTGTTAGTGAGATAAAAGACCTACATCTCGCTGACAATGAAACTATGGTCAGTTTTGATGTTCAGTCACTATTCACATGCCTATCAATTGAAGACTGCATATCAATTGTAACTAGAAAGCTAGAATATAATAACATGCCTGCTGAATATGCAGTATTACTCAAACACTGCCTCACATCTATTGTAGAAGGAAGAGTTCTACAAGCAAGTAGATGATGTGGCGATGGGCTCACCTGTATCTCCCATAGTCGCCGACATATTCATGGAGAAAGCCCTTCTTACTGCTCCTGTAAATCCAAGATTCTACAAGCGATACGTAGACGACACTTTCACAATTTTACCATCTGGCAAAGTAACTGCATTTTTAAACCACCTTAACTCTATAAACTCTAAAATACAATTCACAATGGAGTTAGAGGCAAATAATTCTTTAGCTTTCTTAGATGTTTTAGTCATTCGAAATCCTAATAACACACTGTGTATAGGAAAAAGACCCATACCAACCGATATTTAAATGGTGAATCTCACCATCATCCTTCACAGTTAGTTACCGTGGGTAAATCTTTGTTTCAGAGAGCACGAGGGATCTGTGACAGAAAACATCTGGCCGCCGAACTTCAGCACGTCAAGCAAGTATTGCAATACAACAAGTTTCAGGTCCCGCGCCTACGTTACAGTGACCGAGTGAAGCCGGTCACAGTCGAGCGTGTACCTGCTGTACTACCATATGTCAGAGGAGTCACAGACAAGGTTGGCTACATCTTGAAGCGAGTTTCCATTAAAACATACTACAAGCCGCCGAAGAAGACTAGTTAATTTTTACCATCCGTCAAGTATAATATCCCTCTACAAGATTCAAGACATTCGATTTGATAAACCACAAATTCTCGCAAAAGAACACCGATTTCTACCAAGGATGATACGCGAGGCTATTGAAATTAAAAAAACATCCAAATTTCAATAGAGAAGATGGATAGGTGCTGCCACCTGCTTGGGATCCTATAATTAACAAAATTAAACCTAAACCTAAGCATACCGCTGCAAGACTTCATGATACTATAAGCTCGTTTTGCGTAAATCGGACCGAGAATTAATATTCAAAAACTGAAGGTAGCCGGACTAACTATGACATTGGGACGTCAAACATCTCAGTCCCCCCCCCCTGACCATGGGTGCTGTAAAGCACCCGAAACGTTGGGAATTAAAAATAAGTAAAAGTATTGAAATAAACGCGATAAAATCCGTAAATTTAGTTTTATTCAATGTGTAGTGTTCGCGTAAATTTAAGAAATCATTATAGAAAACGGTGTCCCAATGATGACTGCAGAACAACGTTCAGTCTATGATCGCGTGTGCGAGAGTGTTCAGAATAATTTGGAAACAATATAGTTTTTAGATGCACCTGGAGGAACTGGGAACACCTTTTTGACTAAATTAATATTAGTTTATGTTCGAAATCAGCGTAAAATTACTCTTGCCGTGGCTTCATCAGGTATAGCTGCAACATTGCTACTAGGAGGTAAAACTGCTCACACTATGTTTAAAATACCAATTGATTTAGATCGCACGGAAAGTCCAACCTGTAGTATTTCAAGAAATAGCGACAAAGCTGTGGTATTACGCGAGTGTAATTTAATCATATGGGATGAATGTACGATGGCCCACCGAAAAGGAGTAGAAGCGGTAGACTAGAACTTTAAGGCATATGAGACAAAATGATCGACCAATGGGCGGTATCACGGTTTTATTTTGTGGTGATTTCCGACAAACCTTACCGGTAATACCACGGGGAACCCGAGCTGATGAGGTTAGGGCTTGCCTAAAAAGCTCTTATTTATGGCGTGATATACAATCGGTGCATTTGACTATAAACATGCGAGTGAGAACTGGAGATAACCCGGATAATCGTCAATTTTCTGAAAAATTATTAAATATTGGTGAAGGTACCTATCCTCAACTACACCAAGGAAAATTTATTCTAACGCCTGAGATATGTCGTATAGTGCAATCCCAACCACATCTTATATCGTCGGTTTACGGTGACGTAACAATTATATTAAATAGGGACAATTCTTGGCTATGCGAAAAATCCATTTTAACTCCTCGCAATGACCAGGCATCTGAGATTAATAACAAAATACTGTCGAATATACAGGGGGGAAAGCAAAGTTTATAGTTCAATAAATAGAATCATCGAAATTGTAGCCCCAATAATCATGTAAGGATTTCAAATCAATAAAAAAGTCATAAAGTAACTCCATAACTTTGAAAGGATTGACAGATGTTTTGGCACTTTTTATCAACGTTACATATTGATGGGATGTATATATAGGCCCAGATTTTAGGTTTCTTCTTATCTCCTTTTCAATTAAACTTTGAACATTATCACCTTCATTCGGGTTTTGTCCACGTATTAAACACTTTTGAATGATACTTGCAATATTTGGAAGTTGAGACACAGCATACGAGTACACACATGCAATAAACTTGTTTTTATTTTGTCCGCAGCAATTATTGCAGTTAAAAAATATGTTTAATTATTTATCAGGAGATTTTTCACTGATAGTTTTTAAATACTCAGGTATGCAAGAACCTATTTCATTTGCTCCCCTTTTACATTTTGTTTTATCGCAAAAAATTATAAACATTCCCATAAGTGCTAACTGTTTCTTTTTTTGGTTGTTAAACCCACTCCTGTGTTTTTTTTTCCTCTTGTATTTTGGTGTTTAATAGCAGGCAAGTCAGCCATGCTAAAATTAATTCATAAAATTTAACAGTTTTTGTTGACTATATCATGATATAGCTTGACCAAATCAAAATAAGTAGAGATTGTTTGGCGATATTAACAACTAAACAGGACATTGCTATTTCTAGATGTTATTGTTATATCGTAAAATAATTTCAATTTTTCAAACAAATTTCAAACAAATTTCACACCTCTATTAGCACTGATTGCGTAAATTTGATAAAAGCTAACTTTTTTATAGATTCTACAGTACTTTATGCTAAATTTTTGTACTATATAAATGTTAGCGGCTTTTTTTGTGCGATAGGGATACTCCTGTCGCACCTCAACTTATTGTGTCCGAGTACTAGAGAGTAAAGTTTTGGTTGTCATAGTTTTAATGAAATAATAGTTGCTGTTTGTAACTCTGATAATTTTAGGTAGGGCTGCCTTTGTTTAGTTTTATCTTTTTTGACTCGTAGAATCCATGCCATTATTCCTACTAAGCATGTAAATGAACTTTGTTTTTCTATGAGTTGCTGTAAAATGTTGCTTTCCTCTTCTCCCTTTAACTTCTGAGCTACTAAAACTTGCTTCTCCTCTTCGTTTGTTGTACGAGTATATATAGGTTTATTTTCTACATCTTGTTTATTTGTTAGTAGCCAATAGGGCCCTTGCTACCAAAACGGGTGGTCTTTTAGTTGTGCTGCTGATAAATCCCTGCCGGCGCAGTCTGCTGGATTGTCCTTCGACTTCACATAGCGCCAGCAGGCGGGGGGAATGGTGGTGATCACTTGTTTGACACTGATCGCCACGAACGTCTTCCATCGTGCAGCGTCTTCATGTAAATAGCCTTGAACAGCGGTGGAGTCACACCAACCAAAGATTTGTATGTTGTATGTACTTAGGCGGTTGACAACCTTGTTCATCAGTTTTGATAATAACACTGCGGCATTTAATTCGAGCCTTGGTATAATGAT